AGTTTTGTGGTTTTAGGTTTTTGTTCTGTCTTGAGCAGAGACCCAGCTTAACTCATGTTGGTGTGGGTGTTGATCCAACTTCATTCTTTTGCATGTGGATATTCACTTGTTCTTTCACCATTCATTTATTGATTGTTCTTTCCCTGTTGGAGAAACTTAACACCCTTGTTCAAAAGCAATTTACCGAAGGCATATGCATTTGTTTTTTGGTTTTTTTTTTTTTACTCTAAATTCTATTCTATGCCACTGGTATGTGAGCCTTTTGTTATACCATTATCATGCTATTTCTAGTTCTTTTTTAAATAGGGACATGTGATTCCTCCTACTTTGATCTTTTTTAAGATTAGTTTGGTTATTCAGAGTTCCATGCAATTCCATAAATACCTGAATATTGGTCTTTTTCATCCTTACTAAAACACATTACTGGCCTTTTTATAGGAATTGAATTGGATCTGTGGACCATTTTGGTTAGAATCAACATCATAACAATAATACACCTTATAATTCAGGAACCAAGATACGCTTCCGTTTATTTAGATTTTCTTTCGTTTATTTAAGCAATATATTATAGGTTTCAGTATACAAGTGAATTTGATTATTTCTTAATCCCCTTCTGGCTCTGATTTTTGTGATACTTTATATATTCACATCACCGGCTCCTGTCTTCTCCCCAGCCAGCCACCCCGCCCCTGGTGTGGCTATCTTTCTGTTTGATGTGCCTCAGCCTTCCTAACAGCATGTGGAAACTGGAGAGGAGGAAGGTGGGCAGGCTTCAGACTCTTTGTCCCTGCCAGGTCACTTCCTTCAATGGCTCCCCAGAGTTTTCAGGTCCAAGTTTAAACTCATTAACTCAGCACACCAGACCTTGCTTTTTAGAGTGTAGTGTCTGCGTCCTCCTGTAAGAATCTCATTGCCTCACTCCTTTCTCCAGCTTGTTAAGGGTGCAGCTTGTGACTGAGAAGGTCCATGATGGTCCTGTTGCTGTTACTGCCAAGTGCTGGGAAGTTGGCTCTGGCTCATAGTGAGTGGCCTTACATCCAACTAAATTAATTGCTGTCCAATCCTGCACCATCCTCACAATTTCTGCTATGCTAACGCCCATTGCTCCAGCTATTGTGTCTATCTTGTGGAGGGTTTCTCTCAACAAGCCTATCTTTCTTCAAGGACTAGAGAAAGATAGGTTCTAGAAGCAGCATTTATACCAAATTTACCACGCCTGATGGGTTTTCCTATTTTCTCTTTCAGCCACTGGATCATGAACTCATTGAATGCAGTTTCCTGTGTCTTTTCCTGGGTTGAATTTGTCGAGTCCTGTACAATGCCTAGGAGCTCTGGTGGCAATGTGCTACTAACCCCAAGGCTGACAGTGAGCCTCGGACACTTGGAATCCCCGCAATAGGTGAACAATGGGAGAAAGATGGGAAGTCTCCTACCACAAAGACTTACAACTTCAGAAACCTGATAGAGGGTCTGTCTAAGCCTGAACCAGCCTGATGGCAGTGAGTTTGAGTCTGAGCACAATGCCTCACAGTATGTTGTTGTTAGATGTTAGAGTCTGACTCATAGCAATCTTATGAGCAACAGACCTGAGCCCTCACCTATCCAGTGCCATCCTCACCACCTATCATGCACTTGAGCCCATTGCCTCAGTCTCTGTGTCAATTCATTTCAGCGGGAAATCTTGCTCTCTTTTGCTGACTGTGCTAGAATATACTAGCTAGATAATAAATAGTGTTTAAAGCATGTCTGAAGAGCAGGTATTCTGTTTCATGTCTGTCTTAGGTGGTTTGGAAATGCAAAACCACCGCCCTTTTCGCCGTACTGTTGGTGCTCTGGAAGAGGTTGGTGGCGGTAGGAGGAGGGGAGCCCACACAGAAAGCTAGAAGGAAGAGGTCTTTCCCCAGGTGACAGGATTAAGGTATCCTCAGTTGCATCCTGGGACACACACAAGGCTCATATCTCTGGGGATGGGAGTGAGCTAACCCTGAACTTTCCTCTGGGGCTTGTCCCTAGGTGGTCAGTAGCAGAGCTGGGCTTGGTGGGGCATTCTCCTCAGAAGCATGTGTCAGACCGGCTTCCTCCCCACCCGTGTGGAAGGAGCAGGTGGCCCGGCTGCAGGGAGGGGGTGGGGAGCTCCAACAGAGGGAGGGACATGGGAGAGGAAATTGAAAAAGCGAAGGGGGGCTTGGGGGTGTGCGCTGGCCAGGCCGTTGTTTAACGAGTAAATGTGCTGGGAACGCTAATGAGCTGTGTTCATTCATAGGGAGCTGCTGCTCAAATTGGGGAGCCCGCCAGGTTCTGGGGTGGAGGCACTGGGGATGGGAGCCAAGTTGGGGAGCTGCCCTGCCGCTGGGGCAGGACCTCCCCTGATGGACTGGCGGGAGGAGTCTTTGTCTTGGATGTGTGTGTGTGGGGGGGGCTTTTTCCCGCCCCCTCCTTCAAAGGAAAGGCCAAGCCTTGCCAGGCTGTGACAGCTTGGCTCCATGCCTGCCTGGGATTCACTGTCCAGGCTAGTGTGGAAGCTTCTAGGGTAGGGAGTAGCCCTGAGGACCACAGGAAGGGCTGATTTGGCAGCACCATGCCCACTCCCACCTTCCTCACACCCCTTTTCTGTGCCACTCAGAGGACCCCAGGGCATATGCCTGGTTAATCAACACTCTGCCCCTTTCCCACATGGGGCCTGGCTCCAAGGAGGTGGGAGGGGGTGGGGAGAGGCACCCCGGAGCAGAAGGCTGGAGAGACCAGACATTTTCAACAGTTGGAGTGTCATTTGTGACAAGCCTACTAAGTGCCAGGTGCTGGAGTAAGTGCCAGAATGCGAGAACCACTGTGGGGCTGTCTCTACCCTGGAAGCAGTGTCAGGGGAGTGGCAGAAGTAAACAGAGCACCAGCCTTGGCTGAAGTAAACAGAGCACCAGCCTTGGCTGCTGGAGGGGCTGAACAAAGCAGAGGCATCTGGGGAGGCCCTGGAGAGGAGGGGCTGAGACCCTGCAGAGAAGTTGGTGAGAAAGAGAGAAGTCCATTGGAGCTGTGGCCTGATCTGTAGGAACAAGTTAACCAGTGGCCACTGAGTGGCCCCAGAGGTAACCAATGTTAGAGAAGAACCATGCTCCACAGAGGCTGATTTTTCTGAAGCAGTTGCCAGGCCTTTCTTCCTAGATGCCTCTCCTTAGCAGCGGAGCATTTAACCACTGTATCACCCAGGGACTTATGGGAAGGCCTGGGAAAATGACACTGCATTGAACCCGAGCAAGCCCCCTCCCCCCAAATTATCGATTGCGACTCTGAAAATCATGCCCTTGACTGAAGACCATGGCAGGTGAGGGAGGAAATGTGAACAGTTTCTGAGAAGAAACTTGTCTGAGGCCATGCAATCAATCAGGTTAGTTAGGAGTTTGGGAGAGACCCAGTCCACAGTTCTGGCTGGGTGATGGGAGTGGAAATGCTGTAAAATTTTCAACAAGTTGGAAAAGGAAAACTTGGCAGCTCTTTAGTCCTTGGTGGGTGATAACGCTTTTACCCTGCAGAGCCTAGACTATCCTCTCCCCAGTTTTCTCCATACGGGCCTACCTGGGGCAGCCCTGGACCCACACATGTTTCTTTCTGTTTCCTTCCAAGGGGCAGCCAGGCAGCCCATCAGGGAGGCAGGTGCTTCTTGAAATGCTCAGCTCTCCCCTCTTGTCCAGCTGCAGGCAGCCTTGTTCAGTTGATGTCTCTGGACTAGAGGGCACCAGCACACAGAGGTGCCCCGCCTCCCTTTGGAGGGGGTTCTTCATCTTTTTTGGAGTTGAAGATAATTGTCTCCCCACCTGGATTTTTCATCCACACCCAAACCCACAACCATGTGCACACCTGCCTGGGAGTGAAAAAGAATCCTGGCCTAAGGGAGACCTCAAACCCTGAGGTCTAAGCCATCAGGGTGCCTCTCTTGGGGACAAGCTGCCCCAACCGTTTTTCAGCTCCTCTCTGTTCTCCTTTGATGCCACTTCCAGGTTACCCTGGTTGTTAGTTTTGATCTGTTTTCACCTGTTAGGAGCACTGTTTGATAATCGCTAGATTTCCAAGCCCCAGTGATGGTTTCCGCTCCAGCCAGCGTGGCCTGCACCAGCAGAAATGATACCTTTCAGTTGCTCAATATACAAACCAGGTCGGTTACCAACCTAGTAGGTTTGGCCTCAGTGGTTCCCTCTGGGAAGTAGGACTTTCGTCACCTTTTGGGAAGGATATGTTGAGGGAGTAGAGGAGACTGATAGTTAGTTGCACATGGCCTGATGTTTGTGTCACACACCACACCCCTCACCCTCGCCCAGGCTCCGCCCTAAGGTCCAATGACTTGGAGATACCACCTGGGCCTGGGGGATTTCTTTTCACCAAGAATTGACAAAAATAAGTCTGGTTGGGACTGAAGGCTGTTGATGCCGTCGGGGGGTGGGGGTGAGGTGGAGTGGAGTGGATGGAGGGGAAGATGGAGTGGGGTACAGACAGCAAAATAAGATCCTTTCTTGCCTCCGAAGCCGCAACCAGGGGTCCTGTGCTGAGATGAGTGCGTCGTGTGTGTGTGTGTGTGTGTGTGTGTGTGTGTGTGTTGTGTTCGTGCGCTCTTGGCACTGGACAGGTGAAGTCGCGGCCCCCTCCCCCCCTCCGCAGCCCCAGCAAGCTTGGCGCCTCTGAGGTTCCACCTTTGAAACTGTACTCGCTCGCAGCCGCAGCCCAGCTGAGTGGTCGTCGGGAGGCGGGGGCCGAGGGGTGGGGGGCGCACCGGAGGCGGGGAGGAGTCTGGCCCTGGATGTGCGCATTTCGCTTGATGGATGACTGCCGGGTGGGGGCGAGCGTGCGAGTGTGCGAGTGTGTGTGTGTGTGAGTGTGTGTGTGTGAGTGTGTGTGTACGCGCGCCGGTGCGGGCGCGCGCGCACGCGGGGCCTGCCCATTTTCCTCCCCGTAGCAGTCAGTTGGGAGCTGGAGGGCGGGAGAGAGGGAGACCGAGCCAGCGAGAAGCAGGCGAGCGCCGAGCGCCCTTCGCCCGAGGCGCCCTCCCTGCGTCCGCGCACAGGCGCCGTCGCTTGGAGAAGCAAGGTGCTTCCCAGACAGCAAGGGCGCAGCGCACAAGCCGCGGTCGGCTCGGTGGCTTTGCCCCGGGACTGCACCTGGAGGCGGCCCCGGACGGGGATGATAAGCGGCTGTCGCCGTCTGGCACGCAAGCGGGAAGCGGTGACGGCATCATGCCCCGGAGAGGGTCCTCTGTGGGACTAGTCCGGCCCGAACTCTGGCTGCTGCTGTGGGCAGCCGCGTGGCGCCTGGGTGCCACGGCGTGCCCCGCCCTCTGCACCTGCACTGGCACCACGGTGGACTGCCATGGCACGGGGCTGCAGGCCATCCCCAAGAACATCCCACGGAGCACAGAGCGCCTGTGAGTATAGTACGCAACCCCTGGCCCGCAGGGAGCTCCAAGACTACCCTCCCACTGAAAGGAAATTCGGAGCTAGGGGTGGGAGCAGGACCAGTGGGGACCTGGCTCCACGGCCACTAGACGGGCCACTGCCTCAGAGGGTCTTTCAGAGCCAGGAGGGAGGGCGCAGTTGTTACCCTTTCTGGGGATTCAGATAGTCCTCACTGGGGCTGTCAGCTCCCCATCCTCACACCTGCACCCGAGCTCAGCTCTGGGCAGGCCCTTCTCACTGCACCAGCACTTGATTCCTGCAGGATGGCTGTGAATTTGTGCCAGAAGGCTTTTCTGGCACTCAAGAGGGAAGCTTCCCACACTTACCTGGCACACGCTCTCCTTTTGCTCACATGGGCCTTGGGATGTGCACTGAGCTGAGGTGTGTGGGTTCTGGCTCTGAGGGGTCTGCTGGGGGCCTTGGTGAGACTGAGTTGAACCTTTTAGTCTTTCCTTCCCCCCCCCCGCTATTGTTTGTTCCAGAGCCTTAAATATTCTTGGCTTGCAGGTGTCAGACCTTGGCCCACCACCTGGTCACCCCTCTCACATTCAGCTATTCCTAACCCAGACAGACAATAGGACCTAGAACGTGGGGTTTGAGACTTGGGCTCTGTCACATTCAGATCCTAGAGAGGAGGAAGGTGTGTCTTGGATGGAGCTGGTTATACTGATGGCAAGAGGTCAGGAGCTTGGAATGGGAGACTCAGGGGTAAAGAAATCGACCATGACAAGTCAGCCCTAAAAGCAATCATCTCTCTTCATCTTGTTTTCTCCCACTTCTGAGTTCTTGAGGAAACTCAACCCTTTCAAAACCTCCTGAGCTAGAGAGAGAGAGAGAGAGAGAGAGAGAGAGAGAGAGAGAGAGAGAGAGTGTGTGTGTGTGTGTGTGTGTGTGTGTGCTTCGCCTGTGTCTGTTTACAGAACTGTCTAGTTTGTTTTCAGAGGTTCTGGGGAATGTATGTTGTTGTGAATCCTCAGGCTCTGTGGTGCTGTCTTAGCGTCTGGAGCGGTGAGAGCTGGGTCTGTGGCTGAGTGTGTGCAGGCCTGGTCACATGCAGGGCCTTTGTGCTGCTGGCGGAGGGTGGTTGCTCCGCCAGCAGATGTTTGAGCTGGACTTTGGAGAAGACTGCTGCTGCTTTGAAACCTGCTACTCCGTCTTCCCACACTCTTGGGCCACTGCAGTGGCTTGCCGGCAAGGCGGACATATTTTGATAACTTTTGAGCACATTTTCATGGTTCCCAGCTGGTCAGAGGCAGAAATCTGACCCTGGGAAGAGCTGTTTCGTGGATCAAACTCTGTACTGAGGTCAGCAATTAGTGAGGCACATTTGCGGCAGACTCTTCTTAGCCGAGTCAGAAAAATTCCCTCTGAGGTTTTGGAGATTTTGCAGTCTTCTATGCTTGTCTGAGCATTGATGTGTATGGTGTGTGTGTGTGTGTGTGTGTGATGTGTGCGTGCACATGCACACACATGCATGTGTTGAGGGAGTAGTGATGGAGGAGGGAGAGACTGGACTGAGATTCCCTAGGGTAACTTGTACTTCAGCCTGCATGGACCTGGAGAGGTACTGGGGACAGAAATCTATCAGAAGGACCTTAAGGTCACCCTCCACATCTGATCCCCTTCTCTGTCTACTGAGACATTTATCCTGCAGCTGTTATCCTGGCAGCCGACTAGATCTAGAATATACCAGCTCCTCTCTTTTGCCTTTAAACCTCGGCATCATCTCTCTTAAGTTTTTTGGACAGCGCCTATCTTGACTCTCATGAACTCAAGAGCTCTTTTGTGATCACAATGAGACAGACGGGCAATTTCCTAGTTCAGAAGAAAGAGTTGGGGCTCAGGGACCTACACAGCCCGAGCAAGGGTCTCAGTTTTGTTACTTATTACCTGTGTGAAATTGGGCAAGTTACTTCTCTAAATCTTGATGCTTTGCAGCAGGAAAATGGGGCTGTTCACACATAATATCTGGTTCTTGTGATGGGGACCTAATGTAGGTAATGTATGAAGAGTGCCTGGTACATCTTCATGTTATCTAGGTACGTGCCATTAATATGCTAGGATCATCATAATAGGAGAGGTGTATCATTATTTCAGCAAGTGTAGATGAAGGCACCAGCGGGAGAAAAATGGGCAGTCTCCTCCCTTGTGATTTACTGCCTCTGAAAACCACTAAGGGTGGTCAGCTAAGGGCCAGTCAAAGCCAGGAACTGCCCTGAGTGTTGAGGCTCTAGCTGCAAGCACGCATCTTTCAGCGCCATATAGTCTGGAGGATCAGACGGGACATCTGGCTGTAAGCTCTTAGAAAGGGACAAACCGTCAGTGTTGAAGATGCAAGTGTTAGATGGGATGAAGAGGCTTCTTAGAGACTGGACCATTTTGCAAGGACACTAGTGGTTGAGTTGGATTTTGCCAACAGAGACAGGCAGGAGTGAGTGCAGAGGGAATGATAGGAGCAAAAAGCCCACAAGAGTGAGTGCACCTGACCCAGTGGACAAATGAGTGGTGTTTCTCTGGGGCTGAAACATGTGTCTGGTGGGGTGGGAAGAGAGGTTGAGCAGGCTCAGGGAACCTTTTCTCTATTTGGATTTCTTCTCTTGGGACTTCAGATTTGGAAACTGGGGGTAGGGGGCAGGGGCTAGAGTGGGTGGATATCTGGCCTTTGCTATGTTCACAAATCTGCTTGGATTGGGATGTAGAAAGCAGAGGGAGCCTACCTTCCCAACACGTGGGCTGAGAGCGAGCTGTTTGAAGAGGCAAACGACATCCTGAAAGAGGCATTGGTGAGCGGCCCAGGAAGACTTAAAATAACTGTGGCAAATGTGCTCTCTAATCAATATGGGTGTTATGCAGTATCAGAGCCTGAAACAGCGGCTTCTTCAGAGGCTGTGAAATTTTTATAGACTGCAGCTGTGCATTTGCCTTTTGTCCTCTGGGCAGTTTTTAAGGCAGCCTGTGAGACCTGGCAACTTTATGATCTTATATTCTATAACTCCCGGCCCAGGCTCAGACCCCCCAAGTGGGCTAGGACTGCCACTGGTTTGCTGCAGGGGCTTCTGGGAAGGGTCCCAGAGCTGCCAAGGAAATTGGTTCAGCTACTGGGGCTCTGGGGCTGTTGGGCTGAGCAGGCAAGGGATGCTAAATAATTCACTGTAATGGAACAATTGAAATACAGAGTGCCGGTGGCAGAGAGACCTGGGAAGCTTCTTCTCTTTGTAAGTGCTCAGGCTCTGAGGGATCCAGCTGTGGCCTCTAGTTTCTACCCTCTTCCACTCAAGGAACTTAACTTTCAGTTGGGTATTTTTTTTTATCAATTAAAAAAAATTTAGATTAAAGAAAAAATCTGAGGGACAACTTTGGCTTAAGGTTTAAGGTTTGAAGATTCTCTCATGGTAGTAGTTTGAGGGGCTTGCCCAGCTTCAGTAGCTCCAGAAAGTCTGGATTCCATAAGCATCTGAAATGATCTTCTACATTTCAGCCATAATTTGATAAAAAAACGGATCAAATTGACATCACCGATTTGAAAGATAAGAAACTTAGAGGGGACCGTGAGTTTATGTTAAGGGGCAGGGGGAACAATTTGGGGAAGTAGGATGAGAGTCGTTGTATAACTTGAAGAATGTAATCAATGTTAGTGATCAATGCATGCAGAAATTGAATTGGTATATGCTGTGTATGTTCTGAACAATGGTGAAGGACTAGAATGTCCAAGAGATTATGTAAAGAGAGTGTGGCATGAGTGGAAAGAAACGGCTTCTCCCTTCCATTCTGTGTAGGCTCTCTTGTAGGTATAGTGAGGGGAGACATGTCTATCTTCTTGCCAGTCCTGGAAAGATGGGGAGAATGAGAAGGGCTACTGAGAAGGCAACTGACTTCTGATTGCCATCTAGCATAGCACATTTTACCGCTGTTAGGTCATGGGCTTGCCTTGCTCAGTCCTCCTCCTCATTCTATGCCTTTTGCCTCCTTGTCAGTCTGTCCGCCCTGCTCTAGCTAGGATATGCTGCAAAGCCCAGATGTCCCACAGCTTCTCCCAGCTCCAGCCCTCTCAGAGGCTAGAGGTCCTGTTCCCCAGAGCAAGAACAGGTCATGCTAAAGGAAGACTACTCAAGAGGGCACCCTGAGGCAGATAGTCTGGAGAGATGGTGGTTATGTATGGTGAGTGGGGTAGAGGACCAGCTCTGCCTGTGAACTCTGGGCTGGGGCCCTGCAGCACCTTCTCCTGTGCAGCAGAAGCTACACCTGATGGAGCCTCGTGCATCAGGCTTTAGTCCAGCAGCAGGTGTGCTGGCCTGTAGCCAGGGAAGTGGAACTCCAGTCGAGTGTGAAGGCCCCAGTCAAGTCACTCAAACTGCTTGGAGGCCCACTTGCTCCATCCGTGCTATTATGTGCTGTCGTGCTGGCTTTGACTCGTGGTGACCCCAGGTGTTACAGATTGGAACTGTTCCAAACAGTTTTCTTGTCTCTAGTCTTTATGAAAGGGAGCTCTGGTGGCCTAGTGGTAAGAAGCTGTGCTGACATCACAGAGACACGCGGTTTGGATCCACTAGCTGCTCTGTGGAACAAGGATGGGCAATCTTCTGCCATGTAAAATCCTGCTGGAGGGCCAGCTATGGGCCAATTCCGAATCCACAGTACACAGCAATAACAATCTTTATGGAAGCAGATTTCCAAGCCTTTTCTTCTGAGACACTACTGGGTTTGAACTGGCAACTTTTGACTGTCAGCCAAATGCAAATTATTTGCACCACCCATATGCCTTCTCCGTCTGTAAAAGGGGTTAACAGCAGCTTTACAGGCTCATTGTACGAATTAAGTGCTTGATGCAGGAAGGAGTTTCACTTTCCCCTCAAGTCTGGGCATAATAAGACCTACTACCTTATGGAACTTTTGCAAGGATTTACTTACCAATTTCGGAAGAAGTTCCTGATAGTGCAAGATGTTAGTTTGCTTCACAATTAACCAAAAG